TATCAACTTTTTAAAGATTCCACACATAACAAGATCACACAGTATTTGTCTTTCTGTGTTTGGCTTATTTCAGTTAGCATAATGTCCACTAGATCATACAGATTGCTGCAAATGATAGGAAATCCATTCTTTTAAAAAGCTGAATAGTGTTCCATTATGTGTCTGTGTGTATCTATCTGTATATAAACATATATATCACGTCTTCTTTTACTCATTTATCTGCTAATAGTCACTTAGTTTGATTCCATCTTATAGACCCTATAAACCAATACTGCAATAAACAGTACAGACAGTTCTTTGAAATATTGACAATTTCTTCTCAATACATAGTCAGAAGTGTTATTGCTGGACCATATAATAATTTCTAATTTTAATTTTTAAAAAATTTTAATTTTAATGTTTTAAGGAATTTCTATATTGTTTCCCATAGTGACCACACCATTTTACATTCCCACCAATAATGTACAAGGGTTCCCTTTGTTCTACATTCTCACTGACACTTGCTATCTTTTGTCTTTTTGATAATAGCCATTCTAACAGGTGAGAGGTGATATCTTATTGCAGTTTCACTATAATTTTTCATTGGAGGAGTGTTAGATTGCATTTCCCTGATGATAAGTGAGGTTGAACATTTTTTCTTTCACCTGTTAGCAATTTGTATATCTTTTAAGAAATGTCTCTTTAGGTTCTCTGCCTTTCTTTTTTTTTTGGTAGCACTGGAGATTGAACCTAGAACTTTACAATGCTAGGAAAAAGATTTACCACTGAGCCACATCCCCAGCCCTATTCGTTTTGAGACAGGGTCTTGCTAAGGTACCAAGGCTGGCCTCAAACTTGGGATCCTCCTGCCTCAGCCTCCCAAGAAGCTGGGATCATAGGTATGTGCCACTGCACCTGGTTGAACTAATTTTTATATATGTGAAGAAAGGGTCCAATTTTGTTGTTAGGCAAGTGAATATATAGTTTTCCAAACATTCTTTATATTAAAGACACTTACCTTTTCCTGCTATGCTCTTGGCAACTTTATCAAGATCAACTGATAATAAATGAATTTATTCCTGGGCTCTCTTTTCCTTTCAATTGGTCTATGATGTCTCAGTTTTTAATACTAGTACCATTCTTTTTTTTTTTTTTTTTTTTTTTGGCGGTGCTGGGATTGAACCCAGGGCCTTGTGCATGTGAGGCAAGCACAGTACCAACTGAGCTATATCCCCAGCGCCCCCATTCTATTTTTGGTTACTATAGGTTTATAGTCAATTCTGAAGTCAGATAGCACTACGTCTCCAGCTTTGTTCTTTTAGCTCAAGAATGCTTTGGGTATTTGGATCTTTTCTGGGTCCACACAAACTTTAGAAATTTTAATAGTGCTGTGAAAAGTGACTTCAGAATGAAAGGAATTACACTAAATCTATAGATTGTTTTGGGTAGTATGAACACTTTAAGAAAATTAATTCTAATTCATAAACACAGGATATTATTCCACTTATTTGTGTCTTCTTCAACACTTTTATTAGTGTTTTCAGTGTACAGATCTTTTGGTGTCCTTAAAAGTTTTGTATTTAATGCTATTGAAAATGGGATTATTTTCCTGATTCCCTCTTTGGATAATTCACTGTGCAGTATTGAAAATGTAACGATCTTTGTATGTTGATTTTGTATCCTGCAACTTTACTGAATTCATTAGTTGTTATATTTTCTGGTGGAGTCTTTATAGGTTTCCCATATATAAAACTGTCATCTGCAAACAAATAAAAATTTACTTCTTTCTTTACTATTTGGTTTTTTTTTTTCTTCTTTTTCTTGTCTAATAACTCTGGCTAGGAGTTCTTGTACCACACTAAATAGAAGTGATAAATGTGGGAATCCTTGTCTTATTCCTTGCTCTAAGAATTTCATTAATGAATATGTTAGCTGTGACCCTGTCATATGTAGTCTTTACTGTGTTGAGGTATATTCCTTCTATACCTAATTTATTGTTTTTTTTTTTTAATCATGAAAAGACACTGAATTTTGTCAAAAATTTTTCCTGTCTATCTTAAGATGATCACATGATTCTTGTCTTTCATTCTGGTAATATATTGTTATTGCATTGATTTGTATATGCTGAACCATCCTTGCATCTCAGGGGTAAATCCCACCTGATCATGGTGTATGATTCTTTTTATGTGCTGTTGAATTTGGTTTGCTAGTATTTTGATAATTTTTGTATATATGGTCATCAAGGAAATTGGCTGGTAATTTTCTTTTCCATAAGGTACTTTTTAGAGGGGGCAGTACTGGGAATTGAACCCAGGGCCTCGTACTTATACATGCTCTGTAAGCACTCTATCACTGAGCTACATCCCCAGCCCTTCTGTAATGTCTTTATCTAGCTTTGGTATCATGGTATTGTTGGCCTCAGAGAATAAGTTGTGTTCCTTTCTCTTTGGGTTTTTAGAAAAGTTTGAGAAAGACTAGTAATAATTCTTCTTTAAATGTTTGGTGGGACTGCAGAATTTCCTTTCTAAAGCTGAATATGTATCTATTGTATGTATATGCATATATACATATATGTGATCTAATCTCTTTGTATCTTAAAAAGTTCAACAGCTAAAAGAAGTAAAATAAAAAGGCAATGTTTGTGGAATGTACAGTGCATACTGGTGGTGTACACCTCATTATGATTTGCCTGCTTGCTTCTCTTATTCAATTGTTTCTTTAGGTAGAGGATTTTTCTCTTGCGTTTCTGTCTTCTTCAATTTCGACTTATCGAATTTCTCGATCTCAGCCGTATTGGGTTTGTCAGACATGGTTTCGGAGGAAGCAGAACAAGCCGCGAGAATGACAGAAGTCTGGTCTGCAAAGTGACCACTATTGAGTTTTTCTCCCATTCTTGTAGGTTATCTTTTCACTTTCTTGATGATGTCCTTTGAAGCATAAAAGTTCTTAATTTTGATTATGTTTGGTTGGTGTACTTTATCTTTTGTTGCTCATGCTTTTGGTACCATATCTAAGATCCTTTGCCAGAAACCAAGGTCATGGGCTGGGGCTGTGGTTCAGAGGTAGTGCACTTGCCTGGCATGTGTGAGGCACTGGGCTTGATTCTCAACACCATATATAAATAAATAAAATAAAGGTATATCATTAACTAAAAAAAAAAAAAAAAAAACCACCAAGGTCATGATTTACTCACTCATATTTTCTTCCAAAAGTACTGTATTGGTCTGTTTTGCACTGTTGTAACAAAATACCTGAGGCTAGATACTAAAGAAAAGAGGTTTATCTAGCTCACAATTTTGGTGGAAGAAAGTGGTGAGGAAACCCCTAATCATACTGCATCATAGTAAATGGTCTCATGACAGGAGTGCATGCCAGATCAAATGGTGAGACAGGAAGCCAGGGACCAGGGAGGGGCAGGTCTTGCTCTTTAACAACTCAGCTCTTCTTATGGGAACTAACTGGGGATCCAACTAGAACTGCATTAATTTCTTCCAAGGGCAGTGCCCTTGATGACCTAAAATCTTTCACTAGACCCCAGCTCTTCCACATCACTTTCTAACACTACCACTCTGAAGACCAAACTTCTAATACATGAACCCATTCAGGGCAAACTCATCACAAATATTATAGTTTTAGCTCTTACATTTAAATCTTTGACCTATTTTGAGTTAATTTGTGGTGGTATGGGTCCAGTTTCATTCTTTTGCATGTGGCTACCCAACTGTTTCAGCACCATTTGTTGAATTTTTTCCCCACTGAGTGGTAATTGAAGGTTATGGTTCCCTACCAGTCCTCCTGCCCCACCCTCAATGATCCTGATACCAAAACTCCTCCCATGACCTGGCCCTGCCCTGCCCCCCAAAAGGGCCTGCAAAAAACAACTAACTCCTCCCATGGCCTGGCTCTGCGAAGGCTGTATATACAGCCCAGTAGCCAGTAGCCATTTTACCCCCTAAAAATGAGCCACATCAGGTATTTGACCATTGACTCTGCCACTGAATCAAGAAAAGCTTGCTGATCCAAGGTCTGCTCCCTACTTCCACATTTGTGTGCCATGCATTGTCAGTAATGGCATGCCTAAAAAAGGTTAGTTGACTTATGAGTTGACTATTTCTAAATCTTCACTGTTTTACTAGCCTCCTAGCTGATAATTTAATAAGCCTGTTTCTTAGTATTTTTTACTCTAGTTGCTATTAAAAAATGAATATAACAGGCCCAAGGATAGTCTTTCAGTAATATAGAGCATCCTCCTATTTAGTTTATATTAAACATTAGTCAGTATTCTTAAAAACAATTAACAAATCAGTTATGAATTCAATTATATCTGCTATCACCAAGACATCATTTCCTGATTATATCCACAACTTTATCACCAAGTAACACTATGGAGTATCACTCCATAAAATATCCTACTGAAATCAAGGTTATATTATTCTAATAAGAGATTATCAATACAGAGATAAAAGAATAAATCACCATTTCCCCCCCAAGTGTCCACAAAATGTTGAATAATCCTTTCTACAAATGTTTTACAGGAAACATATTTGTAATTGGGGGATTAAAAATCTACAAAAATCTAGTGTCTACATATTGTTATATAGACATCTGAGACCTTTAAATATTATTCCTGATTCTAGAACAGTTAATTAATTAAGTTTGATTAATTGATTCTAATCTTAATTTCCTCTATAGTAAGTCTTTTTTTTTTTCTCAGTTTTTTTCATTTAAAATCTGAAAATATTTCTCTTATTATCTATATTACCTACTAGTTGGTAGATTCAAATATGAAAATTAATTTTTTCACACTATGATATTCCCATAGAATGGATGATGGCTGGGTAAGTTAGGAAAAATGTTAGCATTCAGAACCCAGTGGAAAATAAAATACTTTAGCAAATATATACAATCATTGAGATCAGTTACTTGCATTTCATATTAAGTACTATATATTACAAGGAGTCAAAGAATCAATGATCTTTAGAAATATATAATATTTCAATTCATTTGTCTTTTAGTCTCACCTGAAAAGTGCATATACCAGGGTAGCAATCAAAGTGAAACTGACCACAACTGCCACAAGTACTTGGTCACTTACTCCTTCTATAACTGAATCATCATCCAGTTTCAAACTTTGAACTTCACCTTGATATCTGGCCATTCCAGGTCTAAAATATGAAGAAACAAGACAAAAGTACAAATGACACAGTGCAAATGAAATATATCAGTAAAAGTAATGTAAGTATAGCTGACTTCTAACATAATTAGCATTTGTGGTATTCCCTTAATGTAAGGTACATTAACCACAACTCTTGTGAAGATTCCCCTACTAATGAATTCTTTAAAATTTGTCAGAAACATTATTTTGGGGAGTACAAAATGCTATTTCCTTTAAAACAACTACTATAATTTATCATCCATTTTTTAGACTTTTTTATTTTGGTAGGGAGATTGAACCCAGGGTTCAATCCCTGAGCTCCAACCCTGGCCCTTTTTTATTTTTTGAGATAGGTTCTCCTTAAGTTACTTAAGACCTCACTAAGTTGCTGAATTTGGCTTCGAGCTTATGATCCTTCTGTTTCAGCTTCCAGAGTCCCTGGGATTCTAGTGTGTGCCAGTTCGTTCAGCCCTTAGATAAACATTTTAACAATAGCTTCCTGCTGCAGGGCACCCTGGCGCATGCCTGTAGTCACAGCAGCTGGGAGGCTGAAAGAGGAGGATGGGGAGTTCAAAGCCAGCCTCAGTAATGGGGAGGCCAAGAAACTCAGTGAGATCCTGCATCAAAAAAAAAAAATTTTTTTTGACCAACTACTCTTTTCTAACTCCTGAATACCAAAGAAATTCTTCAAGTTCATCAGATTACTCTTCTCCTTCATAGCACTAAATATGTATGTCTTATGGAATTTACCATGTATGAATGCAAAAGGAAATATATTATAGCATTTTACAAATATTCCTGTATTCCTATGTTGTGCTCTGTACACAGGACAACCTAATAAATATCTACATAAATAAGTCACTTACTATACTTACAGTGTAATTGGAAAAGCAAAAGATGGTTAGCTGATAGGACATTTATATTTATACTAAGATTACTTAAATTAGTGAAAATTTGGATGCTTGAAAATCTATTAATCCTACCTAAAACTAAACTCAGCTTACTGTTCAGAATTCTTTCTGAAAATATGAAATTACTGTGAGGCTGCATTTCCTTGTGAAGAGAAGAGGAAGAAAACAAAACTCTCTTTCCCATACTCTAAACCAGAGAAAAACGGTAGTACCCAGTTCTATAGGTAAGACAGGAGAGAGCCCAAGCAATTAAGAGTCTATTAAATATCACAGGTACTTCTTTCTTCAGAAGACAAAACTATAAAGTTCAAACTTAAAGGGAAATAAAGAAAATATTAAATTAAATATATGTAATAGAACTGAAATAAATTTCTGCATTTATAGAATTTATTACATTGGAAGAGTATTTAATCCAATATCATCATAAATCAGGTAAGTCTCTGTTACAAGGAAATTTTTGAGTGAAAGTCTAATATCTTTGAAATGAATCTGAACTGAATAACTAATAAGAAAAATACCTCTCATGGAAGAAAACTAAGCAGAAAAAGAAAGATCAAAGGCCAGTTTAGTAAGCTTACACATAACAATAGCCTGATGACCAGGAACTCTCTAATGACAGATTTCAAATCCCCTTTATGAAGGTACATACCAAGAAAGTCAGACAAAGAGCTCTAATTTCAGTATTTTCATTCAAAATAACAATCAAATTAACTGCTAGCTGAAAATAGGGGTAGGGAGGAACCTCCAATAATACAAAGATAGGCCAGCTAGGTAACTTCAATTTTTTAAATAGGTTTCCTCTTTTTAAGTTAGAAATGCAATGTCAGTGTCAAAAGTCCTACAGGCAGCAAGACCTACTTGTATTTGTTCAAAGATAATCAAAATGCTATCTCTGTCAAGATTCCTGGCCTCTAATTACTGAACCTAATTACTTCAGAGTTGTGAGAATTAAACCAAATTAAACAGAGGCAAAAGTGCTTTGGAAGTTAAGTGCACCAACAAATATACTATAATTATATTACTCATATTTTCTCCTATGTTATACATTTAGGCGGCCTACTACTTAGTAGTTAAAAAAAAGCTTACCTACCATGTGCAAAGCCCTAAATTCAATCCCTGGGATGCACAAAAAAGAAAAAAGAAAAAGATGCCTTATATTTGTTTCCCTGTCTTTCCATGTGTAATCAGTGATAATGTGATTAAATTCTACTGTACATGTGTATATCCTGTCCATAATTTGACTTCTATGCAATTAAACCCTTAAGATATTATTTCCTACATACTTCAACAGCTCAGAGATCCAGGATACTTTAGGTATTTATATTATAACATATAACATTATCTGAATCATTTTACAGCAGACTCCAACATTGTTGAGAGAACAAAAAAAAAGTGTACTCTGTCACATGGAGATCTACTAATGGTATTAGGTCTATGTTGAGGGACCATATAATACTTTGTCATAGCTTGATTAGAGTTAAAAAGGAATCAAGAGCCCTAAAATCAGATAAAATAAGGTACTATACTACAACCTCAGTTTGGAAAGAGGATGGTCGATTTAAGAGAATAGGAGATAAACAATACAAAAAGATCACAATTTCCTACTCAAGTTGACATAATAACTCAGTCTTAAAGATGAATTCCAAAATCAATCTGGATTACAGTTCTCCAACATCTGTTTTTCATAGTCAATGCTGGTTTAGAACAATATTGTAAGGCAATTCTATCTGACAGCGCAGTTTCTTAATTGAAGCCCATTTTGCTGCTTGGATATTAATAGCCTGGATTTTAGTTCCAGTTCTGCTGAGGAGACCCCACCATCTCCCAGGACCTCGCCTTTTCTGCAAGTGTTAAAGTTGGACTAGATGGTTTCTTCAGTTTCTTTCACCAAAACATTTTTCAGTTTTCAGAATAGGAAAAAGTCGCAGGCTAGGGCTGTAGCTCAATGGTACTACAAGATGTTATAAATGAGGTCTTGAGTTCTATCCTTAGGACCAGAAAAAAAAAAAAAAAAAAGCAAAGCAAAAAGTTGGGCAAGATAAAAACCCAAGTTTAAAGTGGTTATTCATTGGGGGGTGCTGAAAGGGAAGGGCCAAACCATCATCTTCCCCAGGATATGGTTCTATATTTTAAATCCTTCTTAAGTATGTATTACTTTAAGAGTAAAAACAAAGCCAGTATCTGCCTCTTCCATTGAGATGCAAATTAGGCCTCAAAGTTCCTTCTTGATACCAGAGATTGAACTCTGGGGCACTCTACCGCAGACACATTCCCCAGCCCTATTTTGTATTTTATTTAGAGACAGGGTCTCCCAGAGTTGCTTAGTGCTTGCTAAATTGCTAAGGCTGGCTTTGAATTTGCAATCTTCCTGCCTTAGCCTTTTAAACCACGGGGATTACAGGCGTGCATCACCACACCCGGCTCTATACCCATTCTTATCACCTAGTTAGTTATTTTATTTCCTGATGATGTTTTCTAAGACATCCTGAAGGGCAAATAGAGGTACCCAAATGGACTATAGGGCATGTCAATTGCTAAGATCTTTGTGTTATGAACTCCTTTCATTCAAGAACCTTGAGCAGTGCAGAAGCTTACATGGTATAGGGGCGATTAAATGTTGATTACTTGAAACCCAGAAACAAGATTATTAAATGTATGGAACATGACCTTTAATTTACTTCATAGGATCCTGTGCAATACGAAAATAAAGTTATTAGTATTCTGTTTCTGAGTATTTACAAAAACAAAATACCATAGGTCTTGGAAGGTATAACTGATAGAAGTCTGAAGAGGAACTGGCTTTGCTATTGCTTAGCTATCGAAATCTTACTGAATAGTAGCTTAATATAGCAAAGAAAGCATAAGCTTTGGAGCCAGACAACTATGTACTTACGTAAAGCCTGAGTCTCAGCGTTCTCATATATAAAATGCATAAAATTAGGTTGAATCACATCAAACTGCTATTTTGGACAAAAATTAAAAAGTGTAACCTTGTGAAATTTACTATGAGAATATAAAGATAAAGCACTTAACATATTGCTGAGCACAATTTACAGGTTCTTAGAAAATGAAAGACATAACATTTTGATTACCTTTAGTAACTGCCAAGGAATCAGCAGAATGATGATAAAAGTTGTGTCCTGTAATATTGCAATAGAGGTCCTAAGTAACTTAGCAAGCCCTTGTCTCCAGAAAAAAATAAGAAGGGGCTGAGAGATGTGACTCAGTGGTTAAGCACAACTGAGTTAAATCTCTGGTACCAAAAAAAAAAAAAGACTTCAAGGGGCAAGTAGTATTTTCTTACATTTACAAAATAATGATAAATCATCATATGTAAGCAGTTAGCTAATAATCTTCTGCAAGCCATTATTAAAAACTCAATACTATAAAGCATCTCAACATCTCTTTAATTAAAGTTCTAAGTATCTGTTCTCTGGGGAAGACTGGATGAATCTGGGAACACCACCATACAGGCCACTACCATGTTCACTGGAATCCGATAAACATCTACAGAAGACAACTAGCTTCCATTTAGCCAGAATAGGGAGACAGCTAAGACAAGTTCAATTCACCTCTCCTGAGCCTTTTCCCTGAGCTTCAGGGAAGAGAGAAAAATAAAAACCAAAACCAAAAACCAAACAAACAAACCACAATAATAAGGAGAAAATAGGAAATTCTAGAACTTCTTGGAACAAAGGAGAAACTCAGGGTTTCATGTTCATATAGAAATGTGATGGCCTTATGGCTTCTTCAATTACTCATTCAATAAACTTTTAATAAAATTTTCATAAAGGCAAAGTGGGACTATGAAATAAAATCTCAAAACACTGCAATATCATGCAGAAAAGCAATGTGGGTAAGCAGTCAAGCTTGGAAAAGGAGGCTTTAGATCAATTGTGTCAAAGCCTTGAAAACTTGGAATAAAGATGCTTACTACAATATCATAGACCCTCCAGCAGGGACAGGACCAATGGTCACATCCAAAGACAAGGTGCATAAAGTCAGCACAACATATACTTACTGAGTTTATTTACTTGTCTAAAAGGGCATAGTCACTTACAGTGACTAGTAATCTACAGAAACAACTTAGTATGGAATGAAGGAATTCTGGTTTGACAAAGATTCTGAGGTAACAACACAGGAACCAAAAGCAAAAGAGATTCACACTTTAATTTCTAAAAGCTTTCCCCGCTTGGTGTAAGGAAGAATGTTTGCAAGAAAGACCACTGAGAAGCCTTCAGGTGGAGATGGGCGTTATGACTGTTATTCCAGAGGCTGGAAGGGCTGAGGTTCAAAGCCAGCCTCAGCAACTGAGTGAGGCCCTAAGGAACTTAACAAGACCCCCTGTCCAAAATAAAAAGAAAGAAGCGGCTGGAAGATGTGGCTCAGTAGTTAAGCACACCTGATTTCAATCTCTGATACCCCCTCCTCCGCAAAAAATGACGTCAAGGGACAAGTAGCATTTTCTTGCATTCACAAAATAATGATAAATCATCATGTGTGAGCAGTTAGCTAGTAATCTGCGAGCCGTCATTAAAAACTCAATAATATCTTGACAGCTCTCAGTGCTGAGAATATATACTCCCCCCCCCCCCCCCCGCCATCCCCTCCTAGCCACCTGCAATACTGGGGACTGAACCCACTGCCTACACATGCTAGGCAAGGGCTTATTAATGGGAAGGGGGCGGGGCGTGGACTCCAGGAAACAAAATGAAAATGTGTCTTGGGAAGTTAATTTTGCACCATTATAAATAAAAGTTTTGTATTATATAGTATCTATGGACACCCTGTGAATTTACAATTCTTTCAGGACCTCAAGGTTCGTGTCTTAGAAACTCCAGCACCTTTGCATGGAGTCCACATATTTTTATAGCAATTGTTCTGAGCAGCCTCAAACCTCAACAAAATGTCCAACACCAGATTGGATACACTGCTAAATTCACCCAATACCAATGATGAAAATTACCTTATATAATGACAAATTTAATATTAATTGAAAGTCACAAAATAACGGGATATGATTCCATTCATATAAGTTCAAAAATCAGACAAAGAAAAACCAAACTGCATGCATACATAGGTGGTAAAATTATTGGGATGGAATTACGCTCAGAAGAACACAGGTATGGGCGAAGAAACTCCTGAAGAGCCGGCAATGCTGAGTGTTTCATTCATTAGCCCTTAAACATGTATGTCACGCAAGTTTCTGCATATAACTAAATTGCTTTAAAATGTATCCGTATACCTATGGAGGATGGTGCGTCTGTAAGGGCGAGAACGCGACAATAATTTACTCTTCATTATAAGGGAAGCCTACTCTGAACACCAGAAGAAACAGGGCCTAAGCACTGTTGCAGTCCTTAAGGATAGGTGAACTAGTGTCCACCCTCTCCGACTTCAAGTAAAGTTTTCGGGGAATCGAGGCTCCAAGAGACCCAACAGAGAACGAATGACTCCCCTCAGGGAGGGCCAAACCCACTTAAAGCCACCCAGACGCCCTCCACCTAGCCGTCCCACCGTAGCCGAGCAGCTCCGGACCCGGCCCGGACTTCCCTGGCCCGCGGGCAGCGACTCCCGCGCGCAGCCCAGAGACGACCCCGCGCATCCAGGGCCTGGGTTCGGGGGCGTGGCCGAAGACGCACTCGTGTCGGGAAGTGGGGGTGCGTACCTCTCCACCGCAGTGGACTACCTCGCCAATTCCTGGTGGCAGAGATTAAAGATTATTTCCGGGGAATGCCCCCGCCACCCCTCCAGGGCAACCACAAGCCGGCCCCTTTACAATCTGAAATGCGGGCGCAGGCGCACGCGCACTGCTAAGCTTCCGTGACGGCGCCAGCGGGCTGGCAGGCGAGGAAGACCCGCGCCGCTGGCCTGGCGCGTGCGCGTCGGGCACGCTGCGGACAGCGTCGGGGCGCGCGGGCGGAGTGCAATTCGATTGTGCGCAGTGGCTCGCCGCCGCGGCGCTCGCCGGCAGCGGAGCTCGCTGGAGGCGGTGGAGGCGGCCGGGGGCGGGGACGCGGGTTGGCGGGCGTGGTCGTGGGCTCGCGGCGGCGCGCAGTCCCGAGTGAAAGGAGAAGGAGGGGCACGGGGGTGACGGTGCGGGACACACTGCCAGTGCTGGCGAGTGTTAGGCGGCCAGGGAGCGCAAAGGAGGTGGGCCAGAGGCCCGGTCAGCTGCCCGGACCCTCCGGACCAACCCCAGGCCGAGCGGCGGCGGTTTCTGGCTAGGTGGGGAGGCGCTGCCAAGCCCCAGCAGAGGAAGATGTTCAACGTGGAGTCGTTGGAGCGGGTGGAGCTGTGCGAGAGCCTTCTCACTTGGGTATGTGGTGACGGCGGGCCAATGGAAGACCCCCCTCCTCGGGCGCCTTTCCGGGGTACCCTCACGCTAGTCCCGGGGGTCAAACGCCGAGGGCGGCGGTGCCGTCACATCCGGGGCCTGGGGCGGGCGGAGCTGAGGACGCCGTGCGGGCTGTGACTGCACCCGCTGCCCGGCCGGGGTCAGCGGGGCGCGACCCAGATCGTGACAGGCGCGGCCTAGGATCCGAGAGAAACTTGCCCTGATGAGGTGTTGGTTGTTCTTCGAGTGGAAACCGGCCCGGTGGAAGCTAATGACAGGGTGCTGGCGACACTGTAATTAGGATTGTTATTTGCAGCTGAGGCGGCGCTGGCGTTCTACTCTGGAGCTTCTTGGGACACCAAAGCGGTGCCCTGGCAATTGGGGGCTCTCGGGACCCCTGGTTATGACGCTTGCTTCTCGCCTTTGTTGTAACGTTCACGAAGGATAGAATATAGCCCCTTGAGGAATGAGCCCTGCCCACTGGAAAAGAAAAGAAGTATTTCTAAGGGAGTGTAGGAAAAATATGAAGAGGCACCCGGGGCAGAGTACTCAAGATGCCCTATGCTTTTAAGCTATTAGAAAGTAAGCGATGTGCAGGTACTTATAAAATGTATAAAAGATAAAAATTTAAGTAAAACTGGAAGGTATTTGGGGAATCATCAGTGGAACTCAAAGACATTTTGGGACAACGTTGTAGGATTCTAATCTGAAATTATTAAAGTAAAAGTGTTGGATTCTAATTTCAACAGTAGTGCCTTCAGTAGCTTCCTTCAAGAGCTGGACCTATGCTTCTATGTTTTATATTCTGGTGTGGGGGTTACAGGGGTATACAGAATCCTAGGTTAGACCAAGTGCCCCTTTCTGGAGCATTTGTTTGACTTGTTGCTAAAGAAATCAAATGTCCTTTCTAGAAGAAAACAAATGTATTTATGGAGGAGAGTATTTTTAATAATTTCATTTATTTATATATGGTTTGAGTGTTGGAGATTGAACCCAGGGCCTCCTGCATGCTGAGCATGGGCTCTACACTCAGCCGCAGCCTTCAGCCCTTTGTGTTAATTTTAAAGGTAAAAACACACATTAAAGGAATTCTGTTGTGCTGCCTTGGGTTACAAGTTAAGAATTCTGGAATATATACATTACTCTTTCCTGTTCAATGGCATTTTGCTAGAACGGTTTGAGAAGCATCACCTTGAGTTAGTTGTAACAAGTGAATGAAAGTAGTGTCTAACATTTTTATAATTTGACTACATTATGAATCAAGTTATGTCCTCTAGAGTCCAGAATATATAGTGGTAGAATATGATATATTCTGTTAGTTTTTTATTAAACCATTCTTGAGATTTCAGATTGTTTGCAATAATATTTAGAATTTACGTGCAGCTAATGGTTCCAACTTCAGGCAAGGAGATAGACTTCACTGTTGTGTTTTAGAAAAGAGGATTTTGGTAAGTTGCATGATGTGGGCAAGATTTGACTAGTCAGGGGAGAGATAGATAAAGGGAAGAATTAGTAGATTCTTTGATTCTGTGGAAGAAAAAGATTTGCAAAGTTTGTAAACAGAAGGGTGAGGATCTTCAGAGTTTCAGTTGTTGGATCTGTACAAGTCACTACTCAGTATAGCCTTCCATAATGCTAGAAAAAGAAGCAGGAAGACAGACTGCATTGCATCTGAAGTGGTGCTACATTGTTTAAAATCTAGTTTAAAGTCTAGAAATAAAAGTCATGAGTATAGAGATATATTTGAAGAGCATCTGCAAAATAATAATAATAATAACAACAACAGTGCAATTGAGGGAGAATGCTTATAAAAAGAGGAAAAGTTAGAACAAATTTGAAGGGCTTCTAACAGAACCTTACAGTTTAAGAGAATTGTCAGGTGCTGTGGAGCATTCCTTTTATCCCAGCAGCTTGGGAGGTGAGACAGGAGCATCCCAAGTTCAAAGTTAGCCTCAGCAATTTAGCAAGGCCCTAAGCAACTTAGTGAGACCCTGTCTCAAAAAAAAAAAAAATAAATAAATAAAAATAAAAATAAAAAAAAAAAACCAGGCTAATGATTGGACTCAGTGGTAAAGCACCTCTGGGTTTAATCCTTGGTACCAAAACAAACAAAACAATCTGTTTAGAATTGGATACAGTGTCAGAAATAGGGGTAATCCACCTTATCAGCTGCAGGAGATGTCAAGGAATTTAGTATTATGGACTTCCTGAAATGTCACTGGAAGCCTCTTCAAAGAAAAGATCTAGAGAAGATAAGATTAGAGATTATCACTGACAAAACTGGAGAGTAGGGTCCACTAGGTGCTATTCTCAAATTCACAAACATTTTAAAACATTTTTTATTAAAATGTTTCAAAGTAGAGTTTTAATTCTGGGTTTGCTCTCTTTTGGCTGTCATTGTAAGAAGAATAAATATTTATGTGAACAATGTTTAGGCAGCTGAACATGTTTGTTTAGTTTAATAACACTTCTATCTGAAGGTCAGACAAATGCTGAACACAACTCCAAAACCAAATATAAAGGAAAATTTATATAATACACTCAAAGAAAGCACTATCATTTAGAATAATTAAACTTCTAGTCAACTTGGTTGTGTGGTTTTATTAGCACACCATAGGCTGGAAGGTGGCTGCAACACTAGCAAAATACAGATAGCTGTTGGTGATAGAGAAGCCCCAAGAACTGACAGTCAGTCTGGTGATTCAGTCTTTGGGCTGACAACCTTGTGCATCGAGAACTACATGTTTCAAATTTTTGTTGAAAGCGGAATGCTTATGAAAAAACAAAGTATCATCCTTCTAGTGGAAAACATTTTAAGCTTAAATTCCAAATCAGTTTATGCAGCAAGCAAGCTCAGCAGGGTGTTCTTAGAAATTTCTACACTACCTTGTCTCCCCACCCTCTGATTCAAAATATATTCCTACCTGTTAGGGAAAAAAAAAATCGGTCCTGTCTATTACACCTATTAAGCCTAATTTGTGAAGTACATGAATTGCATTTTCCTAGGTTTTATGTATTGTTTTGCAATGCTGGGGGTGGAACCCAGTGCCTTCCAAATTGTAAGCACACTCTCTACTATTGACCTACATCCCCATCCTCTTTCCCAGGCTTTAAAAAGTGCTAAGAAAAACATTGTTGATGGCAAGAAGCTAAATGAAAGAGAATTGTCATATAGGCTTGCCTCACTTCTGGGAAATCCAGAAACCTGAACATATTCTTATTAATTTCATGTTATTTATTTAGAAGCCTATAAAATGCATAGTAGTGTATAGAATTAGGAAGGGTAAAATTATTGTGGTGATATCTCCTCCATTCCATTGTTTCTCCTCTGCCTAATTCCATTCTACCTATAAATTTGATCTTTTAATGAAATAAAGAAATTTCTAAAAGAGAGGGTCAGTAAAGCATAGTAGTTCAGAATATAGCTTCTAATTTTAGCCTACCTAAGTTTGAATCCTGGTTTTAATTCATACTGCATTTGTTTCAGTGGCATTCATATTTATTATTAATGTTACCAACTCCAGAAATGGTTCTTATGCATTAGCATTAAATCAACATTACCTGGAGTGTTTTCACTCTTGTGCACAGGGTCAGAGTTGCTAATTCCATGGGTCTAGGGCCTGCAATTTTGCATTTCTTACAAGTTCCCTGGTGATGTGTCCTTAGTGACGTGGGAACCACATTTTGAAAACCACTGCTATAGAGCAGGGTTTTTTTGACCTTTTTGCCATTTGACATTTTGGACTGGATAATGTTTTGTTGTGGGCACTACCTGGTGCATTGTAGGGCATTTAATAGTAACAATGATTACTAAATGTTAATAGGACCCACCTAGCTGTAACTGTCAAAAATGTCTGAGGGAACAAAATCACCCTTGGTTGAAAACCACTGCTCTAAAGGTATTATTACCAGGTGATTACCATGCTTTACTTCTTTTGCATTTATGGAGGTGTGAGGGAAGGGGAAGGTTAGGTGGTGTTCATAGAGCTTGGTGGAATTAAAAGAATAGGTAGACAGTTCTACCCTTCAGTTAGAATTTTATGACAATGCAGTTAAATGCAGTTATCTTTTGATTTTACTATACTGCTATCCTGAAATGACCTATAGATGTTAGCACAGAATTGGTGATAGCTTTTTTTTTTCTTTTGAGGACTCAGACTTAGTTTTTTTAAATATATGTTTATTTATTTATTTTTTTAGTTGTAGTTAGACACAGTACCTTTATTTTATTTATTTATTTTTACATGGTGCTGAGGATCAAACCCAGGGCCTCACACATGTTAGGCAAGTGCTCTACTGAGCCACAACTCCAGCCCTCAGACTTAATTTAATAACTACCCTTATCAAAGTCTTTTGACTTTTCTGTACATGAGTTACAAATAGGTCACAGGTACATGGCTAGACAGGTACATGGGCTAGAAGTATTCT